ATAACATCTGAGGCCGATATGCGGCTTTTATCATTCCTCATCCATTGCTCACTCAATCAGCACAGTGCCAACACCTCCTCCTCCTCCTTTTTCCTCCTACGCCGCTCCATGGCCACAGCCGCCGCCTCCGAGCCCATCAGCCCATCCAACACCAAGCTGGGCTGGATCGGCACCGGCGTGATGGGCCGCTCGATGTGCTCCCACCTCCTCAAGGCTGGCTACGCTGTCACGGTCTACACCCGCACGCGATCCAAGGCCGAAGCCTTGCTCTCCGCCGGGGCCCGCTGGGCGGACTCCCCGAGATCCCTCGCCTCCCAATCCGACGTCGTCTTCACCATCGTCGGCTACCCCTCGGACGTTCGTCACGTCATCCTCGACCCCTCCACCGGCGCCCTCTCCGGCCTACGCGCGGGCGGCGTGGTGGTCGACATGACCACCTCCGACCCCTCCCTTGCCGTCGAGATCCACGCCGCCGCATCCGCAGCCGGGTGCTCCTCCGTGGACGCCCCCGTCTCCGGTGGGGACCGCGGCGCCCGCCTCGCCGCGCTCTCCATCTTCGCCGGCGGCGAGGAGGGCCTGGTAGCTCGCCTCACACCCCTGTTAAGCCATCTCGGGAGGGTTTACTACATGGGCGGGCCCGGGAAGGGGCAGTTCTGCAAAATGGCGAACCAGGTGACAATTGCCTCGACCATGGTTGGGTTGTGCGAGGGTTTGATATACGCGCACAAAGCCGGTTTGGATCTGTCCAATTACCTGAGTGCCATTTCCACCGGTGCCGCCGGCTCCAAATCTCTGGACTTGTATGGAAGCCGGATACTGAACCGGGACTTTGAGGCGGGTTTTTATGTGAACCATTTTGTGAAGGATTTGGGGATCTGTTTGAGGGAATGTGAGAAAATGGGATTGGCTTTGCCTGGGCTGGCATTGGCTCAGCAGCTGTATTTGTCGCTTAAGGTTCACGGGGAGGGTGATTTGGGTACTCAAGCTCTTGTTTTGGCTCTTGAGAGGCTCAACAATGTGTCGCTTGTGGCACGGAGTTCGGATGCTTTGGCAGAGAAAAAGAACTGAGCTGGTAAGGTGTTCAATCATATGTTGGAAGATAAAGCTTATATTTGGACTATCAGTGGTCATATAACTGATGTAGAACTGGGGATTACGATATACTTGTTTGCCTACTTATATCTTAATGGGAAATAATAATATATATGCCTCTAGCATACTTTTGAAGTTGGTTTTGTTCATATTTTAGTATATTTGTATCATGTACTGTATTATGTACTGTATGTTAAACACATTCCCTCAAGGTCTTGACAAAATGCTGCTGATTCTCAAGGAAAAGTTACGACCCAATCTCTTGAAAGTGCCTGAAACTGAAGTTGCAGTTACCTAGGAAAAAAGATCTAGGTATATAGATTCGGGGATAGAGGTGAAGCACCATAAGAGGGTGAGCCTATGTGCACATTAGTGAGGTTTCATCCCAAAACCAATTGGTGATGGGAGGAGTAACCCACTAGGCTTATACACTCAGCTCATTTACCCTATAGAATTAACATGAGACAACTCACAAGTGATATTCCAAAAATACTTCCATTGTTGGTCTAATTTTATACTGGTTTAATGTTAAACTCTTTAGAACGGGTTTTTATGTGTTACTGGTGTCCCATTATACATGCTCTGGGAGGAGTGGACAGTTTTTCTCTTCTGGACGTGTTAGTAGTGTTCAGTACTGTTCAAGAATTTGGTCGCCTGTATCAAGTGTTGTAGAATTGAACAATTACAATGTTCAACTAAGTTTGCATCCAATGAAGTGAAACATAGTTAAAATACATTTGCATCCAGTGAACTGAAGCAGAATTAAATAATGAGCACGTTGCATTGAAACTCTGTGAAGGTGAGAGTTTTTCTTCCAATTCTCGTTGGTATATGAAGCACAGTTTCATCCAATTCTAGTTCCATTTGAGATACTCTTATTCAATCGTGCATGTGCATATATTTGATTTATAATTATAACTCAAACAATCTTCATATGGTATTCACAAAAGAGGTGATACTGATTACCGAGTGTAAAATGTGATTTTTCCTTGTATTTGCACTTAATTTGTAATGTCGAAGAGACAAAGACTCGAAGCCTCAATTTTCAGATGAGATATATGAAACGTACTTTTGAAGTCAGGCTTATTGCACATGTATTTGCTATGTCTTTTCATATGCATTTAAGATCTGCGTATTATATGAATTCTGAAGAATTGTGTCACAATAATTAAGTTGTGAAGTGCTTAATATGTAGGGCTGTCATACTTTAAGATACTTTGTGGATCAGTCACATCTGCAGATAGGGCTCGATGTTTTTTTCTTGTGGCTGCTAGGGAGCTTCTCATTGATGACTAAATTCTTTATGCTCTCTGTTCTCAGATAATATATGTAATTGTAATGGATGCCCGTAGACATTATGTCAAGAATGGGATTGTATTGTACAGTTTTGACATTTTACTTTGAGATATGGGTTCTATGCTTTATTCGCAGCTGGCTATGAATAGATATATGATTGTAGTTGCAGCCTACAGTTTCTCTAGTAACACAGAAAAACCTCTAAATTCCCAATGTTCCTTTCACTTCACCAAAGAAGATATCCTTGCACGGTCTTTTGCGTAACCGATTTCAGGAGATGAGCCTTCCCACCGCTAGTCGCACTCTACACTATCGTCTAAATTATTTATGTGTAGAGCACTATTTTGGACCTTGTTTGACAAACTAAGTTGAGGATTCATGCAATGTTACCTAGTTTCACCTTAATATTTGCTTGCTTGGTTTGTCTAGCAATAAGAGCAGCGAGCAGGAATGGCCCCAACATAATTTTGGAAGCCTCATAGTTAGGGCTTGCTTGTTTATAGAATAAATTACTCACATTTAATTAATACTGAAAATCTAACTCAACTTCAACTCAACCTCAATATTCTTAATATTATTCATATAATAAATAATACAAAACAAACATTCTTACACATCACATCAACTTTAATTACTATTTATCTACTCACATAATTTTAACTACCTATCATTTTCAAATCATTTATATCCTACAATTACATCAAAACAATTTTAATCATTTTATTTTAAATATTATTTTAATACATTCTTAAAATCCAACTAACAGCTAACCATATCAATTTTTTTCAAAAATAACTCTAGTTAATCAAAATAATTCATTTTAAATGAAATATTTCATAAACAAGCACGCCCTAAAAGAGGCCATTCTTTTCTGTTCATGAATTTTGTATTTATTTTTCTGTATATATACTCCAAAATATTTTCACATGGTTTTGATCATAGTATACCAATAGTATTTTATGTATTCTTATTAACTCATTTTTTCGCCTTTTCGAAGCGATTGATTCATTCAAACAATCAAAAATATTTTGATCAGACTTTGTTAGTCCTTTTTTTTTCTCCATCGAAAAAAAAAATAACGAATAAATATTATCGGTAGTCTTATTAACTCGTCATTGATGCTGTGAGATGTAAGTACTGAATTAGATGAAACTCTCTTGAATCGTCCACGACCGAGCTAACCTTAGCTCGGTCGGCTAAGTCAGCTATTCTGGATGTTATATCATATTAAGAATGAATAAATAATGAATGGTATAGGGCAAAGCGGCTTCCCGTCAAAATGATGTCCAACACTCCTTACAAACTACATATATCAGATGGCTTGGGTCTCTTCCAGCTTAACCAGTGGTCTCGTGTTCGAGCCTTGGGAATGCAGCAGTGTTAAAAACTCTTGAGGGAGAGCTTTGTCGCCCTTGTGGTCCTACCCGGTTCGATTCCAAATTAGTCGGTTCCCCTGTGGATCCGGAAACCGGAAGGTCCCTGTACCAAAAAAAGAACATGTACACACGCATACATTAATTGCCCCCACACACCAGCTGTCAAACTGCCACATGCTCCTACTGTACGGAAATCAAGGTCCACAAAGCCCCACTGTACGGATGTGATCATGGTCCCCGTACCACAAAGCCTTGTAATATATATTGCTTTTGTTTCTTTATCGTTGTACAGCATATAATATATATGATGACATTTGTGGCTAGCTCTTGAGTTCTTCTTTATCCTGTTTCAAGCTTTACTCTGCAACTCCTATATAAAGTGGAGCTGCCTAGAGTGAGTCAATCAATCAATCATTCCTCATATTTTCACTGACATAATCAATAATATCACATTGCTAAAAAAAAAAAATGTCGATTAAATCGATATTTATCACGGCCGTAATAGCCTTATCTTCCTCCATCTTCTTCTTCTTCTTCCCCTCTCATGACCCCTCTTCCTACCATTCCCTCTTCATCTCTCCAGCCCTCTCGAGCAATGACTCTATCGCGGCCCATCTCCGCACCCTCACTCGCCGGCCCCACATTGCGGGCTCAGAGGCCAACTACGAGGCGGGCGATTACGTCCTCTCCACCCTCTCCTCCCTCGGCATTTCGTCCCGCGTCATGCCTTACGAAGCCGCCCTCGACTATCCGGGCCACCGGTCACTCGTACTCCTCGCCGACCCACGCGTCGAGTTCGCCCTCGTCCAGGAGACCTATGAGGGCGACCCGTACGCCAACGTGTCCGCCGAAGCAGTCCCGACTTTCCATGCTTATGCTCGATCGGGCACTGCTGTGGGCCCCGTTGCGTATGCCAACTACGGGCGTGTGGAGGATTACGAGGTGTTAAAGCAGATGGGGGTCAATATCTCGGGCAGCGTGGTACTTGCCAGGTACGGGCAGATATTTAGAGGGGACATAGTCGATAATGCGTTTGCTGAGGGGGCGGTGGGGGTGCTCGTCTTCACGGACAGGAAGGACTTTGGCGGGGACGAGTGGTTTCCGGATGACAGGTGGATGCCTCCGAGCGGGGTCCAGCTGGGCTCCGTGTACAGTGGGATGGGCGACCCCACCACGCCAGGCTGGCCCAGCACACCCGCCTGTGAGAGGATATCGGACGACCAGGTGGCGGATGTTCCGCTCATACCTTCTCTACCAATCTCCTGGGCTGATGCTCATGTCATTATTAGGGAGATTGGCGGACAGGTGGCAGCCGATGATTGGCAAGGGGGGAAGGATGCCCCTGTTTACCGACTCGGCCCGGGACCCGCAGCCGTCAATTTGACTTACATAGTAAGTCGAATATAAATCAATACATTAATATAGGAGAAAGTGGTAGTCCATGCTATTTATACAACTCTGTTTTTCAGGGGAACCAAGTGATTAAAAGAATCGAGAATGTTATCGGTGTAATCGAAGGATGGCAAGAACCTGACAGGTAAATTTTCCCAAGACAATGCAGAAGGCCTTCAAGATTGAATAATTTGGTTCTAAGTAACATATGTAAAAGTCTATATTTTTAGCTTGAGATCACAAGTATTGTATTCCATTATATGCATTTATGCTCTCAAGGACTTGATAGGACTAAAGTTCGGGGGCCCTTATGACTTATTGAGAAGCATGCATTTACATTAAAAATGCTTTTTGCTCACTGGTAAATTCGAAAAAAAATGTCAGGTATGTTATTCTGGGTAACCATCGGGACGCATGGTCGTTTGGGGCTGCCGATCCCAACAGTGGGACCGCATGCCTTCTCGAGGTAATTTGCAGCTGAATATTGTTCCATGTTTTTCTCATAAAGATGTTTTTCTTTTATTTTATTCTATTTTACTAAGCATACGGTTCAATCATACCTTAATGTAGATTGCTGAAAGATTGTATAAGCTTCAGCAGAAGGGGTGGAAGCCAAGAAGAACTATCATTTTCTGCAGTTGGGATGGAGAGGAATTCGGCCTGGTCTCTCTTTCAATCCATTTTATGGCAACTGAAAAAATAGAAAAATAAATAAACAAATAAATAAGGGAAAGACTTTGCTCACACCGTGAATAAGTAGAACGATGTGAATAAGTAGAACGATGCGTTAATTTAATTTCTATGTATACTGTTATTTTTCTTTTTTCAGATAGGGTCAACAGAATGGGTTGAAGAGAATAGACAAATGTTGGTTTCGAGGGCCGTGGCTTACTTGAATCTTGATGTTGCAGTTGCTGGACCTCTTATACTACCACCCTCTGCAACTCCACAGCTTGATGATCTGCTTGCACAAGCTGCTAAGCAGGTACAATGATCAACCTTACTAAAACCGAAAATGAGGAATAATGAGATCGTGTTTTTTTTTTTTTTTAAATCGAAAAATTCTCTTGCTTCTTAAGGTCCCGGACCCGAACAACTCATCACAGTCGATCTACGATTCTTGGATCAGCTCGACAGATGATTTTACCGTATGTATTTGAGTGCTACTAACTAATAATTAAGTTGCCTTCTTTTCTTTTGTTTCAATTGATTTAAAAAAACAAGCTATCTTTTGTGTTAATGTTATGCTAATATGTTACGCGCGCGAAGTTTGGAAGATTAGGAGGTGGAGGGTCGGATTATGCATCTTTTGTCCAACACATTGGTATTCCAGCAAGCGATTTATCTTTAGGAGGAGGTACAAAAATGTCGATAGCACAACTTTTTTTAGTTTTTTTGGTTCTTTGAGGGGCCTCCAAATTTTGTGACACGGCTCATCAATGCAGATTACCCGGTGTACCACTCGTTGTACGATGACTTTGTCTGGATGAGCAAATTTGGTGATCCAATGTTTCAAAAGCATGTAGCAGGTTTGTTCTCTGGCCTCTAATATGAAATTCTTGATGAATCTCAATATTATTAGCACACTGCAAAATGTTAACATCAAATGTTAATAATTAACGTGCAAGCAGTCGCAAGTCTTAGTGGTTTAGTAGCACTCAGACTGGCAGACGACGAGATTTTACCATTCAACTACACCTCTTACGCGCTCGAGCTTCAGGTACATGTGCATGGAATATATGCACTTTTGTAAATTTTTCACTCTTTCAGTGGACGACAACTTATTAATCTCACCAAAGAATCAATCGAAACAGAAAAGTGCAGAGGAGTTGAAAAGTCGATTGTTGAATAGAACCGTGACCCTCGATCCCCTGTTCAAGTCCATCAATGACCTCGAAAAAGCTGCCGCAAACATAAACAACGAGCGGAAGGTAGTTTTTATCACACTGAATTTAGTGAAACCCAAGTCAGATGAGTAGTTTTTGAGGGTAACTAACAGCAAAATACAATTTTTATAGGCATTAATGGAAAGCAAAGGGTGGTCATCAGTGAGGATAGACGAGCAGAAAGCAAGAGAGTTGAACGACAGGCTGATGATGACCGAGCGTGCATTCACGGACAGTGATGGGCTTACGGGAAGGTCGTGGTACAAGCATTTGGTATGTATAATGTAAAAAATACACGGTTATATATATTAGATTTCGTCAAACGAATAATTGACGTGTATTTAATATTTATACTGAGTTTTTCACGATCGGCCCTATGAGGTTAATAATAACCGAGTTCGCTTCATTTTCAGATCTATGGACCATCAAGGAACGACGAGTACGGCTCCAGCTCTTTCCCGGGAGTCGATGATGCAATTGGAAATGCACTCGACTTAAATACGAGCGAGTCTTGGAGTTCGGTACAACATGAAATCTGGCGAGTTGCTAGGGTCGTTACACAAGCTTCACTATGCCTCGGGGGCACGTTAACATGAAATCCGAGCACTGTGTGTCGACCTGATCGAACTCAGGAGGTTATTTCAAGCTTTACCTAATAATGTACGAAGGGCTAATTTGTGCAGAATAAAGTATTAGCTCTCGCCTCTCAATCTTCTCAAACATATTTGGTTGAAATAAATAAAGGCATTTCTCTTTAGCAAAATTGGTAGCATTTTAGTCGCAAGATTTTGACCTTTTGTCTTTTGATCTTGTAATTTGTAATAAGAGACTGAAATTGCAACAAAAATTAAAATTACAGGATTTAAACTGCTAATCAAAAATTCATTCAAAATATTTTTTTATTAACAATTTAAATCCTGTAATTTTAAATTTTGTTGCATTTTCAGTCCCAGAAGACTGAAATTGTGTTAGAATTTTAAAATCATAGGACCAAATAGCAAAAATGTTCAATTCTTAAAACTAAAAACGTTAGTGAATCAAACCAACATAACCAAAATTGCAATTTTGCCTACAATGAATTTTAGCTGGGCTGTTTGGTGCATTTTCATCCACCAAAAAATTTGCAATTTGCCCCCAATACTACACAAAAACCACAAAATTCACCAATTTAACTATGAACTATGAAGAAGAACATCATAAGATTGAAACTTATTCAAATCTCTGGATGACGTCATATATTTACAATATCTGGAAATCGCCGAGAAACTGAAAAAGCAATTCAGAGATTGAAGAGTGGTATGAGATCTCAATTAGCACTAACGGTGGGCTCAGGTGGTTCCTCGAAGTTAGGATCCTTGGCATCAATGGCGTCCTTCTGGGCCCAGCCCATCTCGGCCCCAGAGTAGCCGTCGCCGGCCCACGTGAACTTCCCGCCTTTGCCGCCCTTCTTAGGAGATCCGATCATACCCGAACCCGATTTCCGATCCTTCCTCACCTCCGACCCGTAAGGCTTCCCGCTGTTTCTCGTCTGCTTCGTCTTCTCCATTTTCTCTCTCTTTCTTCTTCTTTTTTTTTTTTTTAATAATATGGTGAAATGCAGAGAATCGTGATTTTTTATTTACCAAATGGATAAGATCGACCGCATCTTCCTCATTTATTAATGTTATGTATATGTTGACTAAAAAAGTCATCAGCGCCAATGGATTCGTGCAAGTTGTAACTAACCTTTTGCAATAGACCCGACAATCATAGCTCCACCTTTTTTGTATTTGTCCGAAACCGAACTGTGTGATTCAGTGTGGTTCGTTCGATTTTTTAGTTTAAAAGTATTTCGATTTGGTTTATTTTCTACATTGTGGTGTGGTGCAATGCGGTTATAAATTTTCACAAGTTTGGTTTTCGATTTTGAATAAAATGTATAGAAAAATTAAGATAAAATCGAACCGAACCGTGCATTTTAGTGCATTTCGGTTTGGTTATTTTAGGGTAAAATAAAAATTAAAATTGCCCAAATAGCGTGACCAATATAGGAAATTACATAAATAGCGCAAAATATAGCGTAAATTCCGTAAATAGAGCAAAATATAGAGTAAATTGCGTGCGCTTTTTCAGGAACTTTGTAAAATAATGTAAGCAAAGTTGCGTTTTTTAGAAAAAAAAAATGCGCTATAGCGCGCGAAATTACGTTTTTGAAAACACTGGTGCATGTGTAGTATATGTGTAATGTCCGTTTTACCCTTACTGAGTGGTCAATTGAATAGATTTGACCACAATATATACACTTACTTACGAAATTGCCACAACATTTATTATTATCATTTACAAAAGTTTGACTTGCTCATGACCGTTGACTTGATGGATCAAATGGTACAAGATTTTTCTTATTTTTTTTCATTATGCTTCATTCTCTTATGATTCATTCTCTATATATGTTGATTCTAGACACATAAACATGGGCTAATTGGGCCAGTGCAGTTCACTGCTAATGGTTGAGTTGGGCCTGAAGCGAACATTTTTAGCCTCTAAACGATTCTTTGGTTCTTGGACGCATGCTTGAAATAAAACCGAAAACCAGAATCAAGTTTGAAGGCGAATAAAACAAACCGAAAAGAATATAACACAACAACCATTAACCGGACCGAACCGGCTTATTTTGCTTCGGTTCGGCTCAGTTTGCCGGTTCTCGGTGTCAAAATCCCGCCTACCTATCCCTTACTGAACTAGAACCGATGTTCATTCATTCACTCACCACCGAGAAAACCATTATCTTTCAGCTTCAACATCATTTTCCTTTGCTATTCCGAAACAATAACAAAAAAAAAGTGCTTTAGTTTCCAATCAACGTGTTCTTTTTATCTACGACCAATCATTTACCATGGCATGTTTACTTTACTAACAGCACAAGACGATGTGAACGATGATCTCTTTACTGGCCTTTTTACAATGGTAGCCTTCGGACTAATTTTTTGCCGAATCGAACTCCCCTCACGACCATATTTATTCTTGCTCAGTTTGATTCTTCTGCTGTAGCACTCTTTCTTTCCAAGATCTTCAACACTCGCCACATTTGCCAAAGATGTAAAAGTTTGTGACTTCCCATGATAGAACTTCGATAGACCTCTCCTGCAATAGAATATTCAATAAGAACTTTGATATATACAACTTTGATTTCCCATGTATAAGTTACACTCACTTGATGGGGAGTCGAGACATGAGCTCCGACAAGTCGTAGAGAGGCGAAGCGCAAGACGAGGACGCGTCGTCATCGGCCAATTCAGAAGACGATGATAAACAAGAAAACGATAATAACGATGATGAATAATGATCGTTATTAATCGATTCACAATATTCATCGTCGTCGCCTTTCTCTCCACCCATAATAATATTCATAATTCAATAGATTTTTATGTTATCTAAGCAAAAACGACCAATAATATATATAATGAAGCTAACAAACAGGTTGAGAAAGAGAGAGGTCTCAATGGGGAGCATATACATATGCATACGTGTTAGTTTGAATTTATGATTTTGCTATATATAAATATAAGTGGCTGTTAAGGTGTTTGTTATTTGATGTTAAGGAAAAATAAGGATAAGATTGGGTGTATGGGTTTGAACACATCCAAATCTGAGTCACAACCTTAGCATATTTTTGGGTCACAATCTTGGCACATTGTTTTGGCTAGGATTTGGCCCGACCACATATATAGCGGAGCAGTACGGAAGGACTATCACACATTTTCATACACCACACTTGTTACAGTGCTATTACCGTGCGTCCTGGCACACCTAGCAAGGTGTGCCGTGTGCCAAGACAAATTAAAATAAACATGTTACATCTCCCTATACCCCTATTACAGAACGCGCTGAGCTTACGTGGCTGATTCTGGTGTTTCGGAATCCTATGTGGCAAAATTACATGCTTCGTTATTGGGCTTGGGTAAATTTTAATTTAAGTCCAAACAAAAAATAAATAGGTTCGGATTACCATAAATATGTTGATTATTTATGCTCATGTTACATGTATTAGAGCATCTCCAATGGTCAAATATTGTTGTGGTAAATTGCATTCCACATCAACACATTTAATAAATTCACCATTTTTTCATCTTCAATGTAGAATGTAATCATAAATGTTGTGATGATGTGGACATAATTAATGTCTACAATGTAGAAGAGAATGTGGTCCATCCACATTCACCTCTACACTCTAGCTAACCAATGAAAAAAAGAGAGAGAAATATTCTTACCAATTCTAAGCTATCTAATTATTTAATTAATTTTAATTTATATTTTTAAAATTTTTAATACATGGTAAGTATATAATATTGTAGGTAGACTATATTGTGCATTGGAGAGAATTTTTTAATTTCATAATTGTAGACTTAACATTTTTCTTACATGGTGCAAAATCCATTTAATTTATTGACATTTGGCAAAATTTATTCTACAATAACATTAGAGCATTGGAGATGCTCTTAATTGCATTTTAATATAATTCCTTATTATAACTATTGAATTGTATATATATTTTAAAAGTTAATAATTTTTGTATTTTTTATCAGTTTTACATATGTAATATATCAAATTAATCTTTTTTTGATGAGCTTCGATTTAACATCCATATTGTATGTATATAAAAAAATTATATTTATCTTTATAACAATAATAAAATTATTTTTAATATTAATTAGAAAAATAAATTTATTTACCAACTAATATATTTATATTTCAAGTAGTTATATGATACTCCTATAAGTTATAAAAACTAATATAATATGACACATGTAAGTCATAAGTAACACAATCATTCTAAAATATATAGTAATATATTTTTTGGTAAAAAGGTAAACTAAATTTAATATAGTTTTCTTATTAATTTTAAATTTTAAGAATAACTTTTTAACAATAACTCGTGTAATACACCGGTGTTGTACTAGTAATAAAATAAACATGTGTAAACATGTTTACACATGTTCATTTTATAATTTAACATGTTCATTTTAAAAATATCTTGGCACACCTAAGTATTTGCGCACTTGTTAAGTTGTCTCATGTTCATTTAATTATAAAGTGCCATCTGTCCACATTAGTAAGTGGGGAGATGTTAAGGTCCGTTATGGAACCATTTCGTCGAGATCTGTAAGCGTTAGATCATTAATCCATGACGATTACATGATGATCTAACGGTTACAAACCCGACGGAATGGTTCCGTAAGTAGCATTTCCCTAGTAAGTGATGTGTAATTTCATAAAAAAAAATAAAAAAAAAATAAAAAAATAAAAACTCAAAGTTACATTCACGCCGTCCAAACCACCGTGAACTTAGAGCATCTTCGGTGTATGAGAGTAAATGTTAAATTGTTCATTCTACATGGCAGTGATTAATTGGATTTTGATTTTTTATAACATCAATGTTGACATCGTAGAATATAACAGTATAAAACTATCTCCAATACTTGTTTTCCTTCACATTATGTGTACATACGTTTATTTTTTTAGTTAAAAAAATGGCTTTCATCTTTCCCAAACTAAATAAATAATAAAAGTAGAAAAATCAAATTTATGTAATTAAAAAAAAAAGTAGCTTTCATCT